CTTTTCACCACCCTTCTACTTCCAGAAGACACGCGACGAATCGAATCTTCCAACTACGCGCTACAACTTCGTCGTACAACTTCGTCGTACAACTTCGTCCCAGACGACTCGCGACGAACAGAGAAACTTTCCTTTCGCGTTGTCCGGACACGTCCTCTCTCTCTCTCTCTCTCTCTCTCTCTCTCTCTCTCTCTCTCTCTCTCTCTCTCTCTCTCTTTCTCCAAACGGAATAAAATTCGATCGAATGTTAAGCGAGCACGAACGTGAAATCGACCTAAATCGTCCGTGTATTTCCCAGCAGACGTCGATAGACGCTATCGGGACGTGTGCAAGAGTCCCACGCGCGTCGTCTCGCATTATCTTTTAACGCTGCTAAGCCTTAGGGTAGTTTCACGGGAGACGTAACGTTCCGTGCCAACGGCGATACAAACCTAACGGTTTCACGAGGTGCGTATTGTTGTGTGGAGAACGTCGAGGATTCACTTGCAGAGAGAGAGAGAGAGAGAGAGAGAGAGAGATGGCTGGCTTCGATCGAGCTGGAAAATAGCCGCGTGGAATTAACCATTTGCGCTGGTAACTGATTGCGGACCATAACGAGTAACCAAACCGTATACTGCAAATAATTTGTCTCTCTTTTTTTTTGATCTCGTCGGTATGATATCGCTGGATAGAAATTACTAAGAAGTAATAAATTTATTATTTGTTGCACTGGATTATACTTAAATATACTTAAAACTAAGAAAAAGAAAATATTACTTAAAAAGAAAATATTGCAATTTTGGGACAAAACATTCTTGACGTGCGTGGCACGTCATTCCAGCGCAAGATGTTAAGCTGTGTTGATTGCTGGCGTTGTTCTTCGTTGTTTGAACAATGGTCAAGTGTTCGTCGAACTCTAGCGGGAGGTTCGAAATTTCAGTGGAGAAGATTTCGTACGGTTCGAGGTATCGAAATATATCGTTGCACGGTTTTGAAGTTGTCACTCGAATATTGAATTTGGGGGTAGTTGATGGATTAGTGACAATCGATTAGATGCTGATGATGATCAAATATAATAATCTGCTTTTAGTAATATTTCAATACACAAATTTATAATTTATCATTGATCCACCATGCTACGAAATTTTCGTATACTTTTGCTTCATTCGTGTTAACGAAATTAACACGTTGGTTAATTCCTATATTCGTTGGTTGCACTATAACGACAGACACGTTCATTTTCTATTTTTACAGTTTAGTAAAACAGTCCAGGCAAGGAAATTATTATCAATATTGGAAATTTTGTCCAACAATATTCTGACAGGGAATTCTGACATCTTATTGTTCCAAAGTACAGACACTTGACGTCCAATGATCGCCAAAAAATGAAAACCCACTCAGAGATAAATAGACCGTCATTTCGCGAAACCGTGAATTCGAGCCAAATCTGATCGTTTGCGAAACTATTATCCTCTGTTAACAACGCGCCTCGTTAATTGTTTCGCCGTTAAATACCGAAAACGAATTTTAATTGCTGTCCATTCGAGAGTTTTCCTCGTGTTTCCGCCCAACACCGTCGCATAATCGTAAAAGAAAAAAAAAGTCCACGGTTGTATGCTGGCAATTCTGTCCCGGCGACAATTGAAACGGCGCCTGTTCGAGCAGAATTATTTTCAAGCGTTTGAAAAGCATTTCCCGCGTCAAGCCAAAGCACACCTTTGGCTACGAACAGTCATTAATCCACCCGTACTTTTATAATCACCGTGTCTACGCCGATTTTCCGCGAGTTTCGTGCGTTTCAATAACTGCGTTTTCACGGACAGCGAGTGAAACGTTTGAGACAAATCTTTGTTACGATGTCAGCGTTCTTTGGGATCCCGTGAGTTCTCGTTTTACTATTCTCTGATTGTATTATGAACGACTTCGTTATTTTTCTGTGATAAATGATATTATTGCAACACTGAGAATATAAATAAAAGATACGAAATTATTTTCATGGAGTAATTAATTAATATTGTGCAATAATATGTACGACTGAAAAATATTTGATGTCTGATTTTGAAGCCAACATTTCTACACGAGCAGGGAAAAATTAATTACACGAAAATTGTAATTTAACGAGTACGATTCAATGTTTGCGTTGGAAGGGGGGATGCATATCGAAGTAACTGAAGTTGAAAGAATATTTGGAAATTTATTAAAAACTTGTTTCACCTCGCTTCGTCGTAAATATCTTCTACGTCGTAAATTTCGTTTTGTATTCGATCGGTTCGTTACACTACGAAATACGCTTCGACGCGTATTCACAACAGAAATTCTTGATTTATTGGAATTGAAAGCTTATCGTGTCCATGAGAAAAAAAGTTTAAAAATTATTCCGTCTTTGAATGGTAGTTGGCGGAATAAACGGTCCACTTTCACAGAACCGTCAAAGATGTAGATTTACTGCACAAAGGGAATCAAATATCTTCCCAATCTTAAAATCGGGGTAGAATACACATTCTGGTCGACCGCTTTGAAATCACGATCTATGGAAACGGGCGAAGAGAATTTTAAATATTGCGGTGACGTTAAAACTAGACGTTTAGTTTGAAATTTAACTTATCACGTGGCAGACTGTTACTGTTGTTATTATTTGTCTCGATGTCAATTAAATTTTGTGCACGACCAATTTGTATATTTTCTTTTCCGATATAAATAAAATTACAGTTCCACTACAGGGCAAGGAAATCAAAATTATATGATACCTGAATATTAATGTGAAGCATAAAATTTCCATCAGAGACATTAAAGTGAAAGAAACTTTTTACGATACAGTATAGGCTACACAAGCTTTTATTTATCTATTTTGCGAAGAATTATTTGAGTTTCTAAAAATACACTGTTTTATATCTGTAGAATATCAAAAATTATCAATTCGTCATTTTTACTATTTTGGTAGTGTTAGTGTTAAAATTATTCGTTCCGTTTCAATTACTGAAATAATTAATTACCAGTAATTACTTCGTAAATAATTGTTCTAAACTTTCAAGACAAAGTGACCGATAAAACACGAATAAAAAAAATCACGGCTTAAAAGTGACCTCGGTATAATTGCCGAATAAAAATAATCTGTATTTTCATTATCACCTGTAATAATAAATAATTCATTATACAAAATAATATTAATTAAAATAAATAATATAAATAATTATATTTACGAAATAATCCAAATTATAATGCAATCGCGAACGTAAACAATCACGCTACGTCTGGAAAATTGGACCGTTTACATCTCTCCCTTGGAAAGAAATTTTCCCTTCGATCGTTTCGATAAATCGCGAGAAAGAGACGCGTTAATCACTCGGCGGGATTAATCCCTCGGACACGTTCGGCGTCTCAGCAAGAGAGGGTTCTCTACTTCCGCCTCGCCTCTTTGCACATCCCCTCTTTGTCGTTGTTAATTGCAGCTTTCCTAATTGAGAGTTTAATGGCGCCGCGAGCGCGCGAGGTCGCCCCCACCGGGAATTCTTTGATCTCACCCTCCCCTTTCCTTTCGTTTCGCGCTCTTTCCCCTTTCTCACCCTTTCCTAGACACTCCCCTACCTCTCCTTCTGTCTTGGTGAACGAAAGTGTTTCGCAGCCGTGAGCTCGCGTCATTGATGACCTCCCTCCTCCCTCTTTTCTCTTTCGCCAACGAGACGCATTCCCAGTTTCACGAGCCGTTTCCAACGAAAGAACGCCGTTTCCGGCAGAGTGCACGCGCGCCGTATCGATCCTCCGAAATCGCGTTGGATCGCTGTTCGAGATATCGGGCGAGATACGGTAGTAAGTATTCGCGGTACTTTCTTGGAAAAACAAAAATGGGGGAGAGCGGAGATAAGAGAGAAATTGAGAGAGTTTTGGAGGATGGTTTGATGGAGGAGCGGATAAAGTCGAATTTTGTTGTTGGCTACGGTTAAATACGCGGAGAGGTTTGGTCGAGAGGAAGGATACTGGTTGTACGAAAGCCGGGCGGTTTGTGGAAGTTTCAGGTGGAATTTGAGTTTCGTCGTGCGGAATCGTGTGGATTCTGCATTAGCGTGATTGCCGGTAGATCGATGCGGATATTGGGTTGTTCGAAGAGAGTTTGGGAATCTCTCGGGTGAAATTTAGAAGTATAGTGGTACACTTCCAGAGAATCGGCGTTATCGCGGGAACGTGTGCGAAATTTCTTTGATGCTTGTATATTTGGCGATTGATTCTCCGGAAGAATTGTGCAGTGAATCTTTCGAAATTTTCTTCCGTGTACGTTCCCAAAATTCAGAAGTTAGAAAAATGTTCTAACGATTTTGAGAAAAAGGGAGAATTATTCGATTAAATTAGAGGAATAGGTTTGAGTATAAAATTATAAATTTGTGTTTTTCCAATACTGAGCTATAGACACTCTGGATAATTGATCATAGTGGAGCGAGAAATTAGTTTTAGAATTTGAAGCGGGAAGATTACGCTATTAAATAGTTGAATAGTGTAGTATGTAATGTACCCCACGCTCGATATACCAAGCTAATGTTGTGTAATAGGAAAATGGATGACATCTCGATTAGCTCGAATGAGGAATTAATTCAAATTCCGTTCGAATTAATGAAAATTTTGTAATCGTTGTATGAGCTTGCTCGCGAATAGCTTGCCGAGTGCATCGATTGTAACAGGTTGCATGCTAAATATCAATTAGTTTGATGAAAATGTTATCGCGCGATGACGTTGAAAATTAAATACTCGAATGTTTTATTATTTGTAGATAAAATGGCAAATTTTAAGCAGGATTTAAGAGATATCGAAGTGTCAGGAGTTTTTCAACGTTCGACTTGTGAGAATGTGCAAGAAAAGGTCAAAGGTTTCTTTCTCGAATTAAACGCATGAACTGGATCCTTGGAATCACGTTTGTACAGTATTGTTGTAAAATATAAACGTGAAATTCAAAAGTGTGACGTTTTCTCACAATAAAAGAATATTCCCATTTAAATCAATTTTGTTCAACATTTGAATACAATCAAACTTTTCAGTTGTTTCAGTGTTGCAATACTGTGGACGTTTGATTGAGTAATGTTGAGATTAAAAAATCCTTGAAGATAACGTTCAATTAAATGATAAAACAGAAGGGGGGATTTTTATTCTCAACACTGAAATAATAATAAATTAGATTTGTTACACTCGTGATTCTGTCTAAACAGACAATTAATTGTAAAAGAGGAGAATCTAACAACTGGGTTCGATCGGTCTGGCATCAACGGTGTGTCTTCGACCGTAAAACTCGTCCATAGATCTGTAAAAAAAGATTAATGGCCACGTAAAAATTCTTTTCCTTACGAATTTCACCAGAACTCAGAAGACAAACGAGCATCACTATTGCGTTTCACATCAAAGTGATTGAAAAACACGCTCAAACCACGTCAAGCAATGGTCAAACAATCTCATTCAGCTTCCTCGTGCAATTCTCCGAGGAATATCGAATTGCATCAAGTGGAAGCGGGTGACAATCGGTCAGCAACCTTGTTGGACTCGCTTCGCAGGTGGACGAAGTGGAGTCTCTGTTACCGGACACAGAAAGAGAGAAAGAGAAAGAGAAAGAGAGAGAGAGAGACATATGCAGGGTTGTTGGTAGGCGCAGGTAGATATAAAGCAGCACGATGCCGAGTGCAGAGGGAAGGGTTGCGACGTGTGGGGGGTCGGCGTGTCGAGGGGGTCGCGGTTGCTGGCGAACGGGGGAGGGGGAGGGTGGGATGGAGGGAGCGAACGCGCAAAGGTGGCGTCGGCGTCGCGACGCCCGGAGAGAGTCAGTCACCAGCCGACCTCAACGCGCCGCGTAACCTCGCTCGTCGACCCAGAAACCCTCGCGTTGCTTCTCTCTCTCTTTGCCGCTGAAACCGGAAACGGTGGCTGTCACGGCACACCGGAAACGTCGTGGCATCGTGGCGGCCGTCTCCGCCACGGGGGAAATCCCCTCGATCGTGATTTCCTACGAGGGAAAAGGGGGAGGAAACGTGATCGCGTTGTGCGTGGAAAATACGAGGAAATACCTGGAGTGCTCCTAGAGAGAGAGATATCTCATCTCTCTCTTTCTCTCTCTCTCTGTTTCGTTCTGTTTTGCCGATGGAATATTGAAGGTGTGCGTCGGATGATGTTCAGAGGTTGTTCTTCTGATGAGCGATCGGTACTAATTCGTATGTTGTCTGGCACGTTTCGGTGACGAACGAATTCGAGTTTGGAATCAAGGGGGGGGGGGGGGGGGCTCAAAATTGCTCTGGGTGTTTTAATGGCAAACCGAGCCGAAGTGACTTAGAGTTATTTATCCTATTTGCCCTCGTTAGTTGATGGACAGTTCAGTGGGTTTAACGAGTTTAAACTTGAAAAATGAGTAGTTTAGGATCGTGCCATTCGTGCGTTTGTATGTTGATAGTCGAGTCAAATGCACGTGTCGAGAATTGATCAAGAACAGTGTTCTTAACGCGTGATTCGACGATTATCAATTTAGTCGTTGCTGATGTTCACTTTGAATTTACGTTTCTTTCTTTTTTTTTTTTTTTCTGTTATTCGACTGACGAGCAATTTCGAGCCTCGAGTATCAAGCGGTTCCTGCGGGCAACGCGCCGCGAAATTGGGTCATCCGGCTTTCGAGCCGCGTGTGATCCAATCCGCGAATATTTTGGTCGCCGCTCGATACCATTTTCTCGGCAATGTTTTCCAGCAGAGTCCCTTGACCGAGTGGCATGCGACGACCCGGGTATCCGCGTGACCCGGCGACCCACGTAACTGTGTAGCTGAGGTCATCGGGTACCCCGCCCGGCCGCTTCCGTCGACAAATCTTCGTTCTCTTTGTCCCTTGACATCCTTCCCGCTGTTATTTTTCCATCTTCCCTCGGTCTGTCCCGAGTCTTGCCACCATTCTTCGTGCCCATTGTGCATGAAAACGGGCCATCGAGAGGAGGCAGAATTTCGTCTCGAAATTCCGGACCGACAGGCGAGTTCTAGAGAGATTTGTTAATGAAATTTCTTTCAATTTCAATCGGACATTGAATCGAGAGTCAGACTCGTCAACGAGATTTCCACTGAATGGGGTCTAGTTTCGAACGCAGAGCTTGTTTTTTTTTTTTTTAACGTAACGAAGAAGGTACCTGGCGAGTTAATTTGCAAAGCAAGTTGAAGATTAAGACGAAGGCCGACGAATGGACGAGCGTGGTTTCCAAGAACTTGGTTCCCGAGTGTGATACTGCAGAGAAATGGTTTCAAATATATCACGGAATCCAGTTCGCTTTCTGGATAACGTCTGTTTTGAAAAGATTAATGATACAAACTTATCCGCTGGATAAGTATCTCCATGTTCCTCGAGCCCGTTTGAATCACCGTGCTTTGAGAAAACGTTTGGAAAATTAATCGGGAAATTAGGATTAGAATTGAGAATTCTTCTTTCATTGCGCTCGGATTATTTTTCATTTCGGAAATTTCTTTCGACTGGTATTTAATTTAAATATTATTTAGGAAGATTAAGAATTAATATTTAAAGAGGTTCAGTTTTTTTTTTTTTTTTTTAATGAAAATCGACTCGAATGAAAGTTTTCTGTTGTGAGAATATTTTTTGAATCCCTTGTCCGTGGAAAAATTCATTCATTCGGGGAATTCGGCGTTTAATTCATATATTATTTAGGAAGATTGAATCGACATTTCGAGAGATTCAATTTTTTTTTCAATGAAAATTGATTCGAATGAAAATTTTTCCGTTGTAGAAATATTTTTTGAAACCTTTTCCCCTAGAAGATTTATCGTTCAAACATTCACTCGTACTTTTGTACTTTTGCGACGAGTGTTGCACGTGAAACGACCCATTTCCGCAAACGTACAAGATTTCATTTCCTGACCGAAATTGCAAAAAATGAAATCTCCGCCATCTCGCGAAGCTCAACAGACGGGAAACAGACGTCTGCTTGCACGAAACTGCAAGAGATAGTTAAAGAACACGGCGTTTCCCGCGTCAAACAATGAGCACGCACGCGACACGCCGCGTCCCGTTTCGATCCTCGCAACTTCGTTACCTTCTCTCTGTCTAATTTCTCTTCACGACAATTTAGCATCTCCGCTTCAGGTCGTCGAGAGAAATCAGCCACACGTCGCGTAGAACACTAACCGCTTTGTACAGTGAACATCGTACGCGACTGTGACGTCGCTGGCGATGAAACCGCATCGATCGCATCGCCGAGCGTTATTTCTGAATGGCTGGTCGTCGATGTCTCTATCGTGCACTCACTCGCGACTCTGCCATGTAGATACATTGTCGGCGGTTTGGTATAATTCAGAGTGTAGAGCGCACACGGTGGGAATACCTGAAAATCTGCTCTCGAACTCGACTCGACTCGACTCGATTCGACTCGGGTTCTGCTTAAGCAAAGATATACATATGTACATATATATATAAAAGTATCGGCCGGTTTTACGACGCGTTTTATAGCCCAGGCCGCAATTTATCGACGTTTAAACATGTCGAATCGGCCTCGGTGAGACGGTGTTACGTGTAAGATATTACTTCCTGGTAATGAACCGTGAAGCATCGCGCCCCGTTTCGTCGATACTCCTACCTCATCGCCGATGAAACGCGATCGTTAGCGCGGAACTGAAATTTCAACGATATTTAATTTACAGCGACGCGAGCCGGGGGGGGGGGGGATAGTGTGTCTTGAAAAGGGTTGAAACGTGGAACAACTTGTGGGTGAAAAAAATTTTTTTCTTTTTTCTCCTTTTGAAGGTGAGCTTGAAGTTAACGTTGTAGAATTTATTTATTCACAAGGGAACGAGTTAGACGTTCCGGGTATCCAACATCCAATTTTTCTCTGTCTTGCTGAGTGAATTTGCTGAACCAGTAACAATAAGTAGTATGTGTCTGTTATATGATCAGACAAGCCTCAACGATATTATTAAAAGTTTCATTAAGATTAATAATAACAATGATAGTTAATTAGAAATAAATCTTCAATTCATTCTGAGCCAGTGTAGTTTCTAAACAATAAGTAGTGAATGTGGAATACAATTTTGTCATTTAAAATTTCTTGGAACCTCGAGAAAATCGTCGGAAGTTTGAAATTTCATTAATACTCTCACGACATTAAAAAACGAGATCTGATCATCTAAATCTCTCTCTTTCGTTTCGTAAAATTGGCCAGTGTTGTAAGTAGTCATGTGTTTATATGGCCAGACAAGCCTCGATATTTTTCTACACGAATCTATAATATGCTCAATCGATCTAACGAGATTTGCATCTGAAATTTCTGTTTTATCGCTGGAGCAATCATGAATTAAACATTCCTCGACGTACAGCGAAATTCGATGCAGTCGTTCCGTTGCACACGGTAATAGCTCGGCTAGTTCGTTATTCGAAATACCGTACCACATAATCAGATTTTTCTCTGACACTACCGATCAATGATTCTTCCATTTTTATACTCTTTCGTCGCCTCTCGCCGTTCTCTCGCTTTTAGCGTCGCTCTCACACATACTTTTATCACAATATCGAGCCAGTATCGAGTTGCAGCATCTACATTATTAATTTCTATCCATTTTAATTATTCCTGTTATTTCTTCCACAAGTTTTAAAATAAATTTTTCTCCGCACTGTGCATCGTATCAAATATTTTGGATAATTTTAAACGATGCCAGAAACGTTCAACTTCTTCCCTATAAACGAATAAGGAATTAATTTTGGATTGTATTTTGCGAGCGTGAGAGCTTCAAGTAATTTCAACTTTTGGATAGTGCTTCGAGACAAATTTTTATTCACATGCTCGCTATACTCCAGAAAATATCAAAGAATAATACTAGAATCGTGTAACTTCCTCTCTCGCGAATATGTAAATCCAAAATTTTGCTTTCGATCATAGATAAATCGTTCTAGCTCATTCATTCGTTTCTCGATGCTCGTCCGATAGTTTCGACTAGAAATCGTTGGAACGTCTTCTTCGTCGAATTTGGTATCTCGTGAATGACGTAGAAAGTTTGTCCCGGACTTGAGGATTTTCACAGCCAGTTTCGCAAACAGGATCGTTCGACCGTAAAGAGATACTCTTTGAAACGAGAGCGCCTTGACTCAAAGATTTTTTCGCGTTTTCACGAGAGTCACGATCCAACTGTGCAGGAAAAGAATTCACGAGAAAAGTTGACACAAATCGTTGATCGATCATCGGCGAAAGTGTTGCGTGCGTCTAATGCTAGATTTCGTCGTTGGATATTTGGATATTTCTTTTTACCACGCGAGTGTCGATATTCGGATAATGTATCGTTCAAAATTCGTTTGCCACAGAATTTTAATATCAGAGATTTACAGTTGAATGTAATCTAGAATATGCAAAATTTGGAAGAGTATAAAGTTCGAAAAGAAAATATAGTGTCATTTGAGAATTAAGAGGTACGATCGTTTGAAAGTTATTGTATTTAGAATTCAATGCTTTGATGAGAGAAAGCGGACGATGCAAGTTTTGTAAAAAAAAAAAAAAATGGCTCCAACCTCTGTAATGTTTTCAAACGCAAACGATTGGTAAATCTACGTGTACACATGTTTAATATTTTTATAATATTTCCTTTCAAGTTCCGATTTTAATTCTCTGTTTAATTCTTTCCTTTCGATTGAAACGAACGTGGAAATGGACACGACATACCTTTTGCAAGAAGCTACGTAGCTCGAATCTAGAAATATCGGCGACTAAAAAAAGCAAATTGCCAAACGTATCGACTGTACTCTTGCATGTCACGAGCAGCATGTGGGTTGAACGGTTAAATATACCAAAATTTCCCGATAGAATTGTAATATCGAATAATATATATGTACGTGCTAACATGGTACACATCGACGAGTGAAATTTTATGATGAAGCATTCATTTGTTCGTTCGTTCGTCGAAGAAATATCGAGTATACTGTCAAATTCTTCACAGTCGGTTCTACGTTTTACATGATACACGAACGCTGGAGAAACAATTGCAACACCAGTTAGCAACTAAAAGGATTATGAATCAAGGAATTTAACTCTTTGCGATTTCGAGTCGAGCCTCACTTGACATAGTGATTCTGATTATATATTTCTGTTGGAGTTTGAAAATTAAATTAACGACTTAACAAAGGGTTTTTTTATCCACTTGACCATTGTATTGTATTTTAGTCTTTTTTTTTTTTTTTTTTTTTTTGTTTGTTAGTGTCGTGAAATCCTTTTGCATTACTTGAATAAACTTCGTTTCATGTATATTTTTGAATGATATTGTTGTGATATTTTTTAAAGTTTCGTTTGTATTTTCATATTCAAGTTGATTGCGTTTCAACAGTTTCAGTTTCAAAATTCGGCAGGTGGTTGAAGTAAATGATTTTAATGTTTAGTTTGAAGTATTTTAGAGCAAAGAAGTGTTACAACCACTGACAGTATGTTGCTATAAATATTGAAAATCTTCGTGGAGAAATTTTTCACAGAAATAATTCCAACTAAATATAGCCGTAACAACCCCTCAGAAAACGCTTTGCAACCCTCTTTGAGGTTATCAGGTTGAGAATTCAAGCTGTAGATAAGGAAAGTATAACAATGTATTAGATAACTCCGCGACTTTTTTTTTTAAACTTGATATGATATTAAAAGTTTTTCAATCAGCAACATATTGGTTTACTGTTTTAACTCTTCCTTATTAAAAAAAAAATTTAATTCCCAGAAAACTGAAAATAAAATACAAACTTAAAGTATTAAAAAATATCAGAAAATGGAAGTATTAAAAATTACCAAAAGAAATATAGAAGATTAAAATATCACCAAAATCAATCTTGAAATCAAAAAGTGACAAAACTTGTGAAACGACCTAATAAAATACAAAATGCACTGGCTAAAATTTTAGATCTATCAAACTTCAAACTCCTTCAAATCGTACAATTTAACAAAACAAGATGTAGAAGATTAAAAAAATCAGGATCTATCAAACGTCAGACTCTATCAAATCATAAAAAATTAGTGAAACAGAAAACGTAGAAAATTAATAAAAATGATAAAAATTAATAAAACAAAATCGTAAGAATTAATAAAACGAAATGTGAAACGTTCCAAAAATTTGAATCAAAATGACAAAAGCGAATAAAACAAATTGCAAAAGTCTCCAAAAGTCAGAACTTTTCAAACACCAAACACCAAAATTCCATGAAATTGTAAAAATTAATACGTAATTATATTAATAACGAGATGTGGTTCCAAAAATCTAAATTAAAATGATAAAAATTAATACAAACAAACTACAAAATTCTCCAAAAGTCAGAAAGTCTTTCAAGCCCCAAGACTCCATCAAATGATAAAAATTAGTAAACCCCAAAATCCAAAATCGGAGTCATAAGAAACTAATAAAACAAACTGTCGAAGTCTTCAAAAAGTCAGAATTTCAGCAACTCTGTTACCTCCCGTACTCAAACGCGATGCAACGCAAATTGATACTCGAAACTGAAACTGACACGATTGAATATTCGGGCAAAGACGTCGTTCGTCTCGCGTCTCGCAGAGGGCACGTTTCACGTTTCACGTTTCTCCGATGCAATAAATTACGGAGCTGGTGGTGGTGGTCGGGTCGCGAGCAATCGGCGCCGTTTAATCCGGCAATTAAACGTCACCGACAATAATGGCTTATCGGGTGTTCGCAGAGGAGGTCAGACCGTGTTTCGATATAGATTCGCGAACCTTATCGGCCCGGCAGGCTGCTGCGACTCGTCGATAAGCCATTGTTTACCCCCGGCGGCGAGCACATGTCGCCGGGAATAACGAGGCCAGATCGTTCGAGCCAGAGTAGACGTACACATCGCAGTGACGTGTTCCTGCGTACGTAGTCGTAGACCGAACCGGATGGAAAGAGAAAAAGAAATCGCGGATTAACTATTTCGTGGAGCGAGAGAGAGAGAGAGAGAGAGAGAGAGAGAGAGAGCACTCGACTAGGAAACTCGATTTTTTTCCGCGCGCGACACGATCGTCAATTGCGAGAGGCCGAGATCGGGAATTTTTGTGAGAAACAAGAGTGTTCCAGTGAATAGTTGACTTTGTTAGGTGGCTGATGGCAAAGTGAAAGGTTCCTGCGGGGAAAATTGAGTGGATGATTGAGTGGAGGAGGATTTTTGGAAGTGGGGGTACAGCGAAGTAAGGAAGAGCAGTGTTTCGTAAAAGGAAGGATTCATTCGGTGGTGGTGTGTATTTTAGTTGATGGATGAAGGTCGTAAATTATGGAACGTTAATCTGCGTGACGCTTGGTAAATGAATGAAACCCGGTGGATCCTTGGAGGTGTTTGATATAGAAGAAAGTCGATTTCTCGTCGTAGCGTTTTTCATCGTCGTTCGAGTAAATTAAACCTCGATTTTCGTGGTTGAACGACGCGAGGAATTTCTTTTTTCAAGGAAAAAACAAAAAAA